GTATGGAATACACAATTCCTGTGTCCTAACTGGCCCATCAGTATTCTCTCTTCAACAATACCTTTTCACCCACCTATCACAGGTCTTGCTAATTTTTACATACCAGCTGTGAACTAAAATAAAATTTTAAGGCTCACCCCCTACCAGCTGACTAAATGGACCCCCTAATGACCAAAGGAATACCCTAAAACTAAATGGCCTGCCAGGAGGAAGGAGGTCCCACAGGCCTTATCATGCCCCCCTCCCTTCTTGGGGACATCCTTTGTAATCCCTTAACAGGCCTAAGGGTATGCAAGACAAACCTGTAGGTTCTCAATTTACACAAGAATCTATATCCCCTTGGCTTATCTCTGATAACAGCTCCTTATTTTAAAACATTCCAAGCCTTTAGACAGAGCTTCCTGCCTTTAACCAATTATAAGCCAAAGAATCTTTAAACCCATCTATAACCTGCAAGTCCCCTCTTGGAGATGGCCCACCTTTTTGGGCCAAGCCAATGTATGCCTCCCACGTATTGATTTATGACTTTACCTGTAATGCCTGTCTCCCTAAAATGTATAAAAGCAAACTGTAACCTTACCACATAGAGTCCACTTGCTCAGGCTTCTTGGGAGTGCCTCCAGGTCACAGTCCTCAAATTTGGCTCAGAATAAATCTCTTTAAAATTAGTTTACAGAGTTTAGCGTTTTTCCGTCCACACAGTCAACAATGTACTTCTAAGATTTAGTTTAATATTCTGAAAGTGATGAGCAAGGTAGAGAGCAACATTCCACAACTGGAACACAATTCTCCCATCATTTTAAGAGTGTGACTGTCTAGATTCAGAACACAGCCATCTTGATTCAGATTTCCCCAGAAGCTGATTATGAGTAGGACTGAAGCATAAGTAGCTTATTTGGGAATGATCCTAGAAAATACCAGTAGAGGAGGGGAGGGTCAGAAGCCAGTAAAGCTTGCAGTAGTAAGACAGTTATCACCGTGGGCAAACAGAGCTCAGTCAACTAGAACACAATACTGAACATGCTTCAGAATTATCCCAGCCAGGAAGCAGAGGGAGCTAAACTATTTATTTGACAACCACCTATTTACCCACTGGCACTCTGGTTTGTTCCCCAAGCAGGTTTAGTGTGCTCCTGAGGTTGGTAGGCGGTTGGGGAAAACCTCAGGCAGTTCTTCATAGCAAGTAGCCTAGAGAATATGGGCTGAGCCCTAATTATATGGAAATGGTGGAAATGATCTACCAATGAGCACTAAATGTATCTGTTGGTGGGAATGATCTATCTATTCCTATATGAAACAGTGCTTCCTCCTCAACTCTAAAGGAATTGAGTCCAAGAAGAAAACTGAGTAGAATCAGATTACTACTAAGGTGTAATTGCAAAGAGGAATTTGTGACATATTAAAGACAAAAGAGATGACTTTACTTACCTCATATTAGTTCAGGAATTTGAAAAGAAAAAAAAAAAGCATTACGAAGTGCAAATCAGAAGTGAGGAAGGGAAATAACTCTCAATGAACACCTAAACTATGCTAGGAGCTGTAAAACTATTCTTCTAAACTCAAATGAATTAAGTGCAAAGAACTTAAGAGTTTCTTCTTTAAATCACAAAGAACTGAGCTCAAAAGTGATCTTTACACTGATAAGATATATTACCTGAGAAAAGTATTCAATTTCCCAGAATCTCAGTTTCCTAGTCCCTAAAATAATTACCTACTATTCAGGATTTGTATGAGGATTGAAGATAACATATAGCACTTGGCAGTGCTTGGTGCCAACTAAATGTTAGTCCTGTACCACCTCATCCTCCTCCTTGTCACAATTTTATAAGGTAGATAATATTATTCCCATTGAAAACATAAAATTACTGAATCTCATAATGGCTGAATGATTTTCCCAAGGTCACTCAGCTAGTGAGGAAATAAGCAAAGGATTGAAATCTGGGTCTCTCTGATCCCAAGGATCTTGCCTTCAAAGATTAATAACAAATGGAACCAAAATCAAATATTAATTTTTCATAAAGCCACAAAATTAGACAAACATTTTTAAATGGTTGAATGATTTTTAAATATTTAATACCTTATTTTCAGTTTTTAAGTTTTAAAATTAGGCTAGCATAAACTTGTAATATAATAGAAATTTTAAATGATTGTATAAAACTTTAAATATAGCAGTGATTCCTTAGTATTCAACTAGCCATAATTCTTAATTAATAAAATATTTCTGCAGCATCCTTAGAAAAATAAGATCAATGGCCTGAACAATTATCATCTTGGATATGATAGTTAAAAAAAAAATCAAAACAACACTATTACCACGATATCCAAAGTATGTCCTCTATTTAGTCAACCCATCTCATACTTTTTAAGATGAATTATTTTATTCTATATGATGATCCTGAGGTCCTGAAATAACTATAAAATTCAATCACTATGAACACTATGCCATACTTGATAAGTCATTTAACTAGGCTAATACAATTTATCTGAATGTCAATGTAAATATGCTTACCTATTCTTTTCTTTATCTTCAATTAACCAGAACACCTTACTTTTATAAGAATACTGATTAATTGGTATTAGTTCTTTAAATTTTTAACCAATATATGTGGTTTTACTTTAAAAAAGAGATTGAATTAAAATATTACCCCCTACAAAATATCCATATCCCTCTAAAATATTAATATGAGACCAAAGAAATCCACAATTGATGCCCAAGATAAAAACCCTCAGTGTGTAAGGGAAGGAGTTGGCATTGCGAGCTGAGAAGGCAAAGAAAAGAAACAGGGTGTATTGCCCAGTAGTAAATGGGCATGGGATTTTGGAATGGACCAATAATGGATCTTTTATATAATTAAAATAGAACATCAATACCAAACTGAACTTCAAGGAAGCATGTCATTGAGTTGAAAACCCCGTTAGCATACATTATATTATTCAAAAAAAGGATATGTGGCATGTAATACATGAAATCACTATTCCAGAAAATACCAAATTCACTAAAACACAAAATGTGCTTTTTAAAATAATGAAACAGAAATAAAGGAAATTTCAGAAGTTTATGCAAAACAGTGATGGTATAGATAACACACACGAGCAATATTTTACTAATAATAGTCTAGTCTTGAAACTTAGTTTTTAATTTTCAGACATATACTGTTTAAATTAAAAATACACTAATGATGGAAAGGTTATCCCATGCTATACAGACACCATATTTAACACCATTCGCAGTTACCTGCTCAAAGTGAGTATTTTCTATCGCAATAGTTGTCATCTTCACTAACTACCTGTTACATATTTAAACCATTGTCTATCTAAGATTCCAAATGTTTAAACAGCCTAAAATTCCTAGTGGCAAGTAGACACCTAATCAAGACAACATAGACAAGGAGCAGGTAAACAGACGCAGGAGATTTTAAGTTTCTAACGTGCTTTTTCAATAAACTTGGATACATTTTCGAGTTTGATTAACCACACCTAAGAAAAAAAAAGGGGAAATTATTTGGCACTGATACAGCATGCCGTCTGGATGTATTGTACCTCTGATACCAGCCTTATACACATACTAGGAAAGCACTGATAGACAAAAGATAAGCACCAAATAAATGCGATAAATACATTGCAAGAATACAAAAGTGTAAAGGAAAAAAAGAGTTCCTCGTCGGTAGCAACTGTTCTATAGAGTCAAAATGGAGAGACATCAGAGTGCCTTTTACTCCCTCCCCCAGTTTCGTAGGCTCCCTTCTCCTCTTCTCCCTCCTTCCCCCCTGCAGCCCTCCGCCCGTCTCCGTCTCTTCCCCGCAGCATTCACCGAGCAGCCCTGCGACGCGCCACTCACCTGTCGTCGTTTTGCCATCCTTGGTCCCCGAGCAGCAAATCTCGAAACCTGTACCTGGGAGGCAGAGGGGGCACTTCGCTCTCCAAATCAACCATCCTCCCTCAAAGAGTGGGAAACATCAAGCAACGCATGGAGGAGAGGAGAGAGGAAAAAAGAAAATACTGCGGAGTAGAGGGAGAGAACTAGTGAACCGCCGCGGCCGGGAGGGGCGGGAGCCGGCCGGGGCCGGGCCGGGGCCGGGGCGGCGGGAGGGGTCTGCGGGAGGGGTCGGCGGAGCCGGAAGCTGAGGCGCGAAGGGGGCCGGCTCCGCACGGAGGGTGCGATGGGGATGATGCAAACCGAGCCCAGGAGCAAAAGTCTGGCTCCGACTAGAATCTACGCTGCCAAGGAACCGCCCCCAGGCTCGGCACCGCCTCTGGTACCCAGGACGGGGGTGGGGGGCGGGGAGGCGGGAATACAAAGTTACTTCGCCGAAAAAAACTCGCGGTGCCTAGAAAGAGGGGAGAGGGTGGGGGCGAGCACCGCGTGACGGGGAAGCACTTTCCAGAAAGACCCTCCCGTCAGGGCCGCCTCGCGGCCACGGTTACCTCAGGCGCTGCCCAGGGCCGGCGTGAGTGGGGGGCGGTGGGATTCGGCCCGAAAGAGGGGAGAGGGGTGGGAGCGAGCACCGCCGCGTGAGGGGGAAGCACTTTCCAGAAAGGCAGGCGAAAGACCCTCCCCTCAGGGCTGCCTCGCAGCTGCGGTTACCTCAGGCGCTGTCCAGCACCGGCATGAGTCGGGGGCGGTGGGTTTCTGCCCGACGCTGCCGACGCTGCTCTCCCGGCAATCGCCCTCCGGAGCCGTAAAGGAGGTCCAGCCAATGAGACTCCCCCTCATTAGCATAACGCAGTGACGGCATGGGGGTGCCTTGGGGACGACCAATGGGGGCGAGCTAATTAGCGGGTTCCGGGCTCCAGACCCTTATCTGGAAGGAGGGGGCTGCAGAGTGCTTGGAGCGTTCCGGGGTGCCGCCCCCTCCTCGGCGGGGGACGCCTTCAGTTTGGGTGGGCGGGGTGAAAAGATGCGCGTTTCTGGAGAGGGAATCCCCTGCGCTCAGCCCTAGGAAAGCCCCATTTTTTCTCACATTCTCGAGGAAGGGAGGTGTTTCCCTGAACTCAGGAGAAAATGCGGGGCCGCCTTGGGCCGCTGAGGAGAAACGTCTAGATGGTTTCTGGGAAAGCACACGAGAATGCGTTGCGGGCTCCACAGAAGTAAGTTGCCGTCCCTGTTGTCGCTGCCACTGGCGGCGTCGTGGGCTTCCAGGTGGCCTGGCCGCAGCCTTCGTTCGCCGCTAGCGGCTCACCGCACGAGCCGCCGCCTGCGTGGACCCAGCCAGGCTGTGGCCCGCGTGCGCGCGGCGCCCTTCCCGTCAGAGCCGGCTCGCGGGGCGAGCGGACGGCACCCGCCGCCTCAGACGGGAGGACTGTGTCACCGCCCCTGCCTCGCTAGGTGTCTCACAGTTTTCGTAAAGGAGCAAACTTATTTAAAAAAAAAAAAAATGATACGATGTGAGAGACAATAACCAAAGAACATATAATGAGATTTGGAATCGCCTGTGAGATAAACACACATTTCTCTGGGGGCTCAGGGAAGACGTCGAAAATGAACTGAGCCTTCTATATTCGCCTGCAACCTGCTTATGGGAAGGGAAGAAATAGGAAGCAAAGCAGAGAGAATAGTACAAGTAGAGACAAAGTGATTTTTTTAAATGCGTGGCTACGCAGAAAATAGTGATTAATTTGGCATGATTAACTTTCAGTAGAGGTCGTGTAGCAGACGGTTTATAAGGAAAGTTAGAAATTCAGGAAGAGATCCGCAAAAAGTGTAATATCAAGTAAAACAGGATGAGTATCTAAATCTTGTGAACTAAAATAAAATTTTAAGACTCACTCCCCCCCTTACCCCCCACTGGCTGACTAAATGCACGCCCTCGTGGCCAAAGGAATACCCTAAACCTAAATTGCCTGCCAGGAGCAAGAAGGTCCAACATGCCTTATCATGCCCTCCCTTCTTGGGGACATCCTTTGTAACCCATTAACAGGCCTAAGGGTGTGCAAGACACACCTGTAGGTCCTCAATTTACACAGCATATCTATATCCCCGTGGCTTATATTACATGCCAAAGAATCTTTAAACCCACCTATGACCTGTAAGACCCCACTTTGAGAAGGCCCAGCTCTCTGGGCCAAGCCAATGTATGCCCCCCACCTATTGATTTATGACTTACCTGTAACCCTTGTCTCCCTGAAATGTGTAAAACCAAACTGTAACCCTGCCACATCGAGTCCATTTGCTCAAGGCTTCTTGGGTGTGGCTCCGGGTCGTGGTCCTCAAATTTGGCTCAGAATAAGTCTCTTTAAAATTAATTTACAGAGTTTGGCTTTTTTCCATTGACAATCTGAAGAAAATAGCTTCAGTAGAATAAGCATCCCCTTTGTTTCTATCTTCAAAGTCCTACCCATTCTTTCCAACCCATCTCAAATGACATGCCCTCCATTAGGTATCCTGATTCTTCCAGCTGTTTACCATGCCTTCTTTCTTTGAAACCCTTCCGTATGAACCCTTCATACCTCTGGTGAGTATCTTGCTTGTACTGCTTATTATATTCTGACTTGCTGTATGATTACCGGAGCATTTTTCTTATGTCTCCCCTCTCCCTGTGGCTTGTCTTTCTACCACAGTACCTTCTAAATAGCCAGATCTCAACATATATGTGTTGAGATGCCTTAAATTTATTAAACATAGGAAATTAACATTTTTCCACATTTTCTTTTGCTCCAGAGTTATGTGTTTGTTTGTGAACTCATTATTTAGCATGAACTCTTGTAATCACCTTGCTAAATGAGGAAGTTGTGTTACTACATTATTAGTTTGTGCAGATAGAAAGAGAGAAAAGGGGCGGAGGGAGAAAGGGAGAGAGAAGGAATATCCAGTTTATATTTTAGACCTTATCATCTTCTATTTAAATGGTTCTAAGTTGTTCCATGTTAATATTTATACCATTATAGTCTGCCTTTATATATTTGGATGGCTAAAAAATCTGAAATATTTACACATCATTAACAGACTGAAAGACCAGCCACTAAAAAAAGAATAAAATAGCTATTGATTATTAGAATCCTGGAATGCTGGCAGTTAATAGGGTAAAGTAACAACATTTTGCTTAAAAGAAAGTTGTGCACCTTTATTTACATCTTTGTGACAATCTTAGTCATTTGGCTTCCAAGTGCTGAGACAACAGTTCAGAGAGCTAGGAGTAGATTAAAAGGAAAATAAATAAATAAATAAGTAAAAAAACCTGCTCAACTTAGTTCCTAATTATGCTAAGCCAAAGGAGTTGGAAAGCACTGCATTGATGATACATTGATTTTCTGTGTGCCTTAATATTGTTGACAAAATGGAAAATCTTAAAATTCTAAATTTAAGGAAATTAGAAGAATAATGCAATATAAGAAATGTTTTTCTGACACTTTTAAAATGTAGCAATATTTGGGCATTGACAGTTAACATTTGTAATTGGAAGATGCTTTTGCTCTCCTTTATATATTTTTTTTCAGTTTTCTGTAGGCAGACTTTTTTTGTCATTAACTTGGACTTCTAGTTCTCCCACCTGTCTTTCTACACTTTTTTTCTTGTCATGTCATGTCACTCCCTGCTGTTAAAATGTATTTTCTTCTTTCATGCTTTTTATCCTGGTTTCCTTTTTTTCATTGAGCTCTTTTAATCTCCTATCTCATAGAGTCTTTTTCTCCCGATATATGTGAAAGCTTTTATTCTACTATAACATGAGATTCAATTTTTGGAAACAATTTTAAACTTGGTTCTAAACCTTACAATTTTGTACCTTACTCACTGGTATTCTTAAATCCCCTAATCAACATCTTGTATTGATTAGAGAAAGAGAGATTGCCCCGTAATAACAAAAAAGTACTTTCCAAATTCTCCTGCATGATTATGCTTATGAGGTAGAGAGTAAGTGTTAAAATGAGGATTAAGGAGAATGATTCCTTAGTTTTAGAAATTTTATTATTTTTTTATTATCTAGAAAACACATTTGAGAATATCTTCTAATTTCTGAATTTTTAATAGAAAAAATTCCTTTTTTAAAAATTTCTGATTTCCAGTACATTGATTGATTATACTAGTGTTTTAACATAAAAAGAAAAGATTCATTCCCATGGATGAATAATAATTTTATTAACCATTAACAAGTTGCTGATACTTATAAATAATGAACAGAGTTGCAATCATAGAATAGGATAGGGATTTTTTTACCCAAAACTCAAAAGTATGTGTACATCACATGTATCATTTTTATGACAAAATTCCTCAAATTGTCAATGATTATGTTTATGCAGCCCTGTAACAACTATATAAAAATGATACTTAAAAAGAAAAAGCTTTCTATATGTTAGAAAGCATCACTTCATAGATGCTTCATCTTTGTAGGCAAATGATATGGTAATACACATCCATTCAGGTAGCAACTCATGTAAAGGTGGATGTGTTTTCTATTGTTTTTTTCAATAGCAGTTTATTAAGTGGTTACTATGAATTGGATTTCCCATAGTCTAATGTGTGAGAGAGACGAAGTGCAGGAGGACTGACAATCCAGAAGTTACATTGGAATGTGGTAGGTCTCAATAGTGATTAGTACTGGCTGCCTTTTTGCTAAGAAGCATGTAGAAACACATAATTCCAGTTTTGCAAAATCAGTGAAGGCTTTATGGAAAGGCTACTATCTATATTGAAGAAGAAAAAAATGAATGGGCGAATAAGGTGGAGGCAGAAGCAAATAAAGTATACAGGTACAAATAATAGCTAAAGCATGGAGGATTTTAGCTAATGGAAAAGTATCATGGACTTTGAGCTGGGGTGTGTGTTTAGGTGGATAGGGGGCACAGAGAGAGGGAAAAAATGGCAAGAAAATTGGTACTTTTATTTATTGAGGACCATATCTGAGGAGCCTTGTATACCATAACAACACATTTGAGTTTTATCTTAAAGACAATGATGAATCTCTTGAGGATTTTAAGCAGGTAAGTGACAAAGCCTAATTTATGCTTTAGAAAGCTCACAGTGTAGATAATTGATTGGTAGGGAAGACAAGAGTGGAAGAAGGGAGACCATTTATGAGCTATACAGTATTTTAGGGGAGATATGCCAATAGTCTGAAATGAGGCAGTGGTTACAATGCAGATGGAAAGCAGAGGACAGACTTATAGGAAATTAAGAAGATAGGACTTAATAACTGAGAGATTGTGAAAGTTAATAGAGAGGGAAGAATCAATGATACTTTCCAGGCTGGGATGAGTAAGTAGGTGGAAAGTATTACTGTTGGATGAGGTGGGAATACAGAGGTCAGTTTGAATGGAAAAATGATTTTGCTTTGAGCCATCTGCAAAAGGTCAAATGAAGAATTATAGAAGGTTTGAATATATAGGTCTGAATATCAGAAGCAAATACTTGTCCAAAGGTATAAAACTGGAAATCATCAATATATAGGTGGCAGTTGAAACTGAAGGATAAACGCATCTGACTCTTACACTGTGAGAGAACAAGAGAGCAGAGACTGAGCCAGTGAAAACGACATGGGGAGAAAGATGAATCAGAGAGGCGGGAACAAAGCCAAGCGGGAATTCGAGAATTCAACTTCTGCCAGAGCAGGTAGACATGGGTTTCTCTATTTTCTTGATTAGTTTTATTCTTGACCCTTGATTCAAGCTTAAATAGATTCTATCTACAGAAAGAAAAACGTAACAAAACCTGTCCTATATTCTAAGCATGTCTAGTTATGTGAACTGAATCATTTTTATTTCAACAGCACTGAAAAGAGGAAGCAGTAAAGAGAAAATGAAAAAGCAGAGTATCACATTCAATTCACAAATTTCACCTGAAAGCATAGATAGGTAAGTGATAGAAAGGGAAGTCATTTGAAGATTTATGAAGATATTCCAATAACTAACATAATTTACCCAACATTTCCAGTAGTTTTTGTCAGTCATTCTAAAAACAAAACTTGTGGTCAAGGTGAAATATGTATGCAAACCTAGTGATGGAAACCTGTCAGTAGATAGTTATTGCTTTACTATATTAATAGTAATGTACTCTTTCATCTTCCTGTTATTTCTTTCGCTCTTCTCAAAACCCTCTCTAAACATTTTATTCAACATTATTCTTAATGATAACACATATTACCTTCATTTATCTGCTTCTAAATCTTCTTCATAGTGACCGAATTTTGGGGAAAGAACATAGACCCAAATGGGAATTATTTAGTGCCAAATGTCTTTAATAACTTAAAAGTATGTTTTCCTACAACAATCCAGAAATCATACCCACATTATTCTTCTATCTACAAAACATGTACATTCTTTGGGAGGGAAAAAAATCTCTATCCTGGTTTGGAAAACTCTGGTTTTTATCTTGGATCTTCCTGTATTTCCTGTTGCTAGTGTCCCAAATTTTGCTCATGGAGAGATTGAAGGAGGCACCCTTGCTCATAATCATCCTTCCAGCCCAACCCCTGTCATCTCTGAACCTGCTAAAACAAGAAATGGCTATTACAACTTTGTCTTTCTCACAATACTTGGCAATTAGTAGGTCATCAATAACTGTTTAAGGAGTGAATGAGAAATTGAAAACAGTCCTCCATATCTGTGGGTTCCTTATCAGTGGATTCAACCATTCCTGGATCAAAAATATTCAAAAAACATAATAAAAAAATACAACAATAAAAAATAACACAAATAAAAATACAGTATAGCAACTATTAATATTTACATAGCATTTCATTTTATTAGGCATTATAAGTAATATGGATATAATTTAAAGTACATGGACAGTTGTGCATAGGTTATATGCAAATACTATGTCGTTTTGTATGAGGGACTCAAGAATACAGACTTTGCTATCTGCAGGGCCACCTGAAATCAATCTCCTGTGGATACCAAGGGACAATTGTATGTGACTAGATTAAGTCATAACTTTATGACTGTTGAAGCATAAAAACATACAACTGTTAATAATAGTGGGAAAAATTAATAGCTACAGTGTAAATAACTATTAAGTGTCAGGTATAATGCTAAGAGGTTTACAACAACTCCAAAAAATAAATAACATTGTCCTAATTTGAAAGATGCGAAAATTTAGGCTCAAAATATGTCACCTAGCTAGAATATGCTAGGCCAAGCTTAAAATAGTTGATTTTCAAAGTGCATGTCCTTCCCAACATATCTAAGAAAGAAAGTTTATGTTTAACCACTTCGGTACCGCGCTCACTGGCTGGGAAACTTGCCCACAGCCGGCACTCATAGTCCGCATGGTAGTTTGTGCTGTGCATTGACGACGAATCCATTTTGCTCTTATGTGATGAGGAAAGCTTTAAAGCACTGAAAGCTTGTTTTACTTTACAGGCAGCTTTAGAAAAATAACTATAATAACTCCTACTAAGGACTTGTTAAAAGGTCACAGATTCGTAGTAACTTATTAGCTGAACTTACACACTGCAACTGCAGAGATAAAAGCTGTAAAAGTAAAAGCTTTTGGCTGTCTACTAAAGTTGAGGCTCGGCTGTGTATCTTCATATCTTTTGGCTAAAGTCCACACTCGCGTTCATCTGTGGCTATCAACTATAGTCAACGCTGGTACTGAAGTGGTTAATAACTAGCAGATATTGATGTTTGCCAATCAGGAATCTAAATCATAAAATAAAATTATAAATTTGCCCTATTACTATGCTATTTATTCACTATGCTCCAGCCTCAATCACCTTCAGTCATACTGTGATGTAATAATAAATATATATTTGGTCTCAGCCCCTGGTTGCTGGCACTCAACTCCTACAAGTCTTAAAATCTCTGGAGCAATGAGTGTCTTTTGTGTGCTAATGCTTGTTGGCTGGGGGCCCCTCCTTAGTTTCAGGATGAGGGCTGGTCCCTAGAAAGACCAAGCCAGGGTTAAAGCGATGGAACTTTCAACCCCATCGCCCCAACCTCCAGGGAGGGAAGAGGGGCTTAAAGTCGAGTTGATCACCAATGACACAATCAATCATGCCCAAGTAATGAAACTTCCATAAAATCCCAAAGGGGCAGGTTTTGTAAAGTTTCTGAATTGCTAAACACATGGAGATACCTGAAAGGTTGCATGTCCTGAGACAGCATAGACAGTCCCTGCCCCTTCCCATGTACCTGGTGGTTCATCCCTATCCTTTGTAACATCATTAACAACAAACCAGTAAATGTATATAACATGTTTCCCTCAGTTCTATGAGCTGCTCTAGCAAATTAACTAAATCAATTTATAGCCCATAGATCAGAAGCACAGGTAAAACAACCTGGGGCTTACAACTGGCATCTTAAGGATGGAGAGAGTCTTGTGAAACTGAGCCCTTCACCTGTGAGATGTGAGGCTATCTCCTGGAGAATGGCGTCAGGATTGAGTTAAATTATAGGACATGCAGTTGTTGTCTACTAAAGAATTGGTTGGTTGTTGGTGGGGAGAAATCCCCACATGCATTTTGGTGAGCAGAGATTACACATGCTGTGTTGAGTGAGAGTGTGTGAGAATAGAGAGGAAAAAAACTTTTTTTTCACCTGAGAGCCTTTTCATCACTCATTTTCCCTGGACTGTTCTCCCTCCATCCTCACATAGCCACCTCATAACTTCAATATCACTTCATCTGACCTTCCTCATAGCACAGCACAAAGGTGCCACCCAATCACTCAGTGTTATATCACCAATAATAATTTTATTTAAAAAATATTTATCACATCTAATTTATTGCACTTATGTTTTTGCTTTTTCTTTCCCTGATTCTCCATTTCCACTACAATATAAGCTCCACAAGGCAGGGACCTTGTCCATCTGGTCAGCATGCAGAACGGTGCCTGATATATAGTATGCACTTAAAAACAAAGTTTGCTGGGTGATGTAAAAGAAAGGAAGGAGGGGCAAAGAAAGAAAAAGAGATTTGCCAAAATAATTATCAAAATTTTTAAATTCCAATCTGAGAAAATTGTATTGTACCTGTAGACATTGTTTTTAAATGTGTGCATGTGCTTGCCTGTGCGTATGTCCTATTTAGCTAAGTAAGGCTTGCAAATTTAAAAAGCACTTTGACAGAGCCTTATATTGAGGTGTAATAGATCATTTCTTACATAGGGTTTTATTTGAGAAGTAGAGTAATACTTGCAAGAAGGAAAAAACATGTGGGATGTTCTTAGCAATTGAAAGTTTTACTTTCATGTGAAATATTGTCTTTTATTTTTATTGATGATTTCTATGAGAAATTTAATCTACAAGAAGAAAACTGTGGATGATTCCTGAATTATGTGTATAATATATCAATAACTTATACAGTTACTATCCATCCATTCCAATATTAAAAATGACTTCAGATTCATTACTTCAAAATGTATCATAACTTGATAATATTTTATATTGATAGGATAGACACTTTCCTTATTTTGAAGATGATTAGACAGAGGCAAAGAAAGCTAAAGTAAATCACTTAGTAGCCATTTCAGTATAATTAATACAAAAATAAAATTTTCCTGATTATTATTCAAAGCCCCTAAGCTACAAATTGCAAATGCTATGGTATAGACACAGAACATGACAACAAATCAAATTTTAGTAATGTTGCTTATTTGTGGGAAATTAGAGAAATCTCGTACTTTTTTTTCATACAGTAGAGTGTTATATACATCAAGAGTGTTGGTGTACTATATATGAATCCAAAAGATCTTGAATTCATATATTTTCTTTACCTACAAAGTTAGGTTATAAATATTAATTATATCACCATTATATACCAAATTTGGATTGTTTTTTATTTTCAGGTAACTCACCACTTCAAGATATTAACAGTTCCCTCTGTGTCAGTTATCACTTTGATTTGTACAGTTTGTGTGTATAAATTATAAAAAATTGGAATGTTTACTGTACATTTTTTGTTGTATAAAAATAATACTGAAACAGAAAAATACAAATAGTGATTTTCAAGATATTGACTACTCACCCTAGGGATTCAGAAAAGGGAGAGAGTCAGTAGGTGTGGCATAAGCAGCAACTATTTAGCCTTATGTGAAGATTATGTATTCAGTCTTCAGGAAAAGAAGAAAGTTATAGAACATGAGATGATAGAGATACTTCATTGAAGAGGTTGATATCTAAAAGGTCATATATTATTATTTGACATCTTTTTAGCTATCAGAGATTGGATTACTTCATTCAGTATGCACATGTATTATTTGAGAATAGTGAGTCAACACGTATCTCTTTTTCAATGTAAATGCTATCTTTGCACCCCAGATCACTCCAGCCTGAGAAGTATAAAAATTGTATCCTGTGTTTTACACATATGCACACACAAATCTTAGAAAAATCTTCTCTAGCAGTTCTATCATTTAGGCTCAGAATTCCAGAAGTGGGCATAGCTTTGTCTAAAACCTACCCCTACCCTTTACTTCCCTCCACACCTGGTCTCATTGCTTCCCAGACTACCTTGCCTCCCTGCCTTACTTCAACCAACTCTGTGAGAAGCAGTTGTTTGGTGATCACTTATACAACTACAGAATCTGGACTACTTGGATGTAAATCATGAACTTGACGATTTATCAGCTGCTTGGCCTTGGGTAGTTTACTTCCTGTACTGCAGTGTTCCTCTCTACAAAATGAAGTAATTAGAGCACTCATTCTGGGGGATGGAATGCATTAATACATCTAAATATTTTAGAATCATGCTCACCACATAGTTTGCTATTGTTACTATATGTGTTTTTCAAAATGTAGGTATCTACATTTTTAGAATTCTTATTCTTAATATAAACTCATCTTTGCTGTTTAGCAACTAATGAATTTAATTATGCTTTTCAAATTGTACACAACTGGTTGAACAGCTTTGATTACCTCCGAAGAGATAAACTAAAGTGTGTACCCTCCAAGCAATTGAAACAACATAAATGTACTAAAGTTAAAAAGAAAAAAAAAATCTGGCTGCTCAGTGATTCTTCTGAACTCCCCTGGAAATAATAAATATGGATAATCAGAAAAGTACCTTAAATATTCTGTAGTTTAAAGCCATGTCATGTAGGCATTTAAAATTAAAACAAGCATCTTGAATTATATTCACATGCACAGCAAAAAAAAAAATATATGTACCATATTGAGTTCAGATGCAACAAGCTGAACATGTGCTACAGAGCTAAATGAGTAATGCAATTTTTACACTGGTTCCACGCAAACTTTACAGTTGCAGAAAATAAGGATATGGCAAAAAAATAATCTGGAAATGTCATAGGCAAATCAATAATTAAGATAAAAGTTCATCACCTCTTACTCAAATATCAATACAAAATATATTGAAATACTGATTAGTATGCAGAAATATAAGATATGATATTTAAGAATATTAGGACTCACATTTTTGACAAGGTATTCATTCACCCAGATTAAGAAACAAATTTAGAAAACAACTCCAATTTGTCCTTTGCACTTTCTATTTTCTTTCTTCTTGCCTCAAAGTCTACAAGCTCACTTGGACATAAGCCCTAGGAAAATCACCAAGTTGCACAGTGTGGTACAGAAATGCTGAATGCCATTAGATGTTAATGATATGACAGCCAAAAGTGAGTTTTCAACTAATTTCCTGGATTAGGAATAGATTATTTCCCTAGTAGTTGACTACCAAATTATCTAAGGCCATGATTTTTCTTTGGCTTATATGTTTTATTCAAGCAACCCTTCAAAAATATTTTATCCATAGAACATGGGTCAGACAAGGCCAAGATTGTGGAATGTAATAAATCAAAAAGTTTTATTTTTAAATTTCCCACCAATTACTCTTTCTTTCTCAATTTCTTTTATTATTAAAAACTACTGCTAAGGATTAGCTCCTGTTAAACTCAACAACAGAAGGACAGACTCCTAGTTCCTAGGTGAAGCTCAATCATGCTTAGAGGAGAAAACATAGATGTCCAAATCATAACCCAAAAGTAACAAAGAGATGCATATTAGAGATACTAGAGAAGCTGGATTGAACTCTGAAAGTATAACCAAGTCAACAAGTCCAGTAAAAAATGGAATGGGGATGCCCAATATAAGAGGAAGATTCTAAGAACTAGACTCAGGTAGACAGAGCAAGAGCAGTCATACAGCAAACATTAAGGTGAATACGATCTATCCAATTAGCAGATTGTTAATTCTCAGAAAAGGAGAATTTGCCACTATTCATAAAGGCTAAGGACCAAAATGTTCTGGTATATTACTTAGGATGCTCTTGATTATAGGTAGGTGAATACTTGGTCTACAATGTCATACAAAATTAAATAAATTTATTATTATTTCACATATGGAAAAATTTAGAGGTAGGGCATCTCTAGCTAAGGCTTAATATAGTGACCTAAGAATATCACATAGGACTTCATTCATCTGTGTTTCATTGCACTGCCTTCTACATCCCTCCCTGTGATTTCAAGATAGCTGTCAGAAGCTCTGAAGATTCATTTATTCAGTTCTAACAGAAACAAGACAACGTCTTTAAACCTAGGATTCCCAACAAAACTTGGAGCTACAAGAGTAAATCTCCCAAGTCTTTGGTTTTCCAATCTACAACTAAAGAATACAGATTGTGAAATAGTCCAGTCTGTATGATTCGGTTTTTGTCCAATCCTTTTCAGAGAAAGACAAAATAAAATAGAATGGACTTCAGAGACCCTGAATATATTGTACTTAAAGTAGAAATGTAAAGCCTATTCTGAGATCATATTGCAGTCAGAATATTGAGGTAGTATATCGCAGTTAATCATATTGCACTTAACTTTTGCTCGACCAACATCCTGTCCCTGTACATAAAAGTCCTCTGCTTTTCATTTGATCATGGTGAGATTCTACCACTCATTCCTACACGTCTGCATAAGCATGTGATCCAAGTTGGGTCAAACAGTATGAACAATGGGAAAGAGAAACATTTAATGTATGGATATCAGGAAAGAGAAATTCTTTCTTCCTGGTTTTTAGCTAGGGACTATGTGTGTCCTTATTGTGAACAGTTTGGAAATAACCAGGATTTTGCAGCAACACAAGATTTATTTTTTAAGCCTCGAATTTTTTACACTGGACATGACTAAATTAAGCACCACTGCTGGAATACCCAGTCAGAGGAATCAATAAGTTCTCTTTTTGCTTAAGATGGCTCGAACTCAATTTCTATCACTTATACCTGAAAAAATACCTAATAAAATATGACAGTCTCCTCAAGTGTGCTATGAACAACTACCAGTCATTTTTAGCCCAATGCTAGAATCTTTTCTCAGTAAAACTAACTAGAATAACAACTTGACAATTTTTTCTCAGCAAATTTCATTGTTGTTTGGATACTAATTTTCAAATCATTGGCATGAACTAATAATCCACTTTCAGATCCCAGATATTACATTCTTCAGTAGTTATACACCCACTACAAAGCATCAAACTGCCTGATCCCATAGAAAAATAGAAAATTTCACAATAATAACAGCCTTTCAAAGATAAGCAATTAAAATATTTTACTGAACAATGTTTTATCCAATTTTAATGTATTAGTTTTACATCATTTTAACTGCACAAATTGAGCATTCTTTATACTTTTTCAGTTTTATCCATATTCTTCCGTTATGCCACTGAAACAACCACCAAGTATAAAAAAATATAGACTGCCACATCATCAATAAGACTAGGAGACATCCACACCCCAAATTAAAAAATGACGAATAACAATTAGAAAAATGTACTGGGACTGAAATGGGAGAAAATGTCAAGAACAAGGGCAAACTCCTAAAGACACTTTAAAAAGTGTGAAGGTCCCTTGGAATAGATGGCATACCTCTGAAAGAATCAAAGACATGTTATGTGAAAGGCGTGAATAGGATACAGGTGTTGTATAGCAAGATTGATGAGAGAGGGAAGGCTGAATAAGAAGCTGTGTAGACACGCCATCTTTTCAGAAAGAAGTTGAGAGGAGAGTACATCACCGCAGACAACTAATCAAAGCCCGCTGAGAATAAATTAGTAGATGCTCAATGATATGTCATAGACTCCTGGAACATAGAGCTTTACTGTGAAAACTTGTAAAACTTTCTGCTCAGCAGACATGAGAAAAGTAAATAAGAGTCTACTCTTTTACAGAGGAGATGACAAAACAGAGATGTTGAAGCTTACATCTCTCACCCTTAATTTTATTTCATCAAATATTTAAACCAGATATATGCTCCCTACTCAAAATTGGTAAGAATCATAAAGAAATAACCATGAATGACATACTCATAGCTAAAAATTAAATAAGAAAAAAGCAATGTAAGAAGAAAGAGAGAGATTTAAAATATCACTAGAAGAATTACTGTTAATCAAAGGATAGTTTCTAACAAAGTCTTCTTAAATTCAAATGAATTAAAGAAAACATTAAAAAAGTATAAAACCAGAAATGAAAAATAAGTTTACAGAGCTCAGAAAAGGATGGGGGAAATAAAACAAATACAGAAATAAAAAATAAAATCAACATTAGAAGCACTACACACACACACACACACATACACTCTTACACATACTCTATATTTTGGGACATGAAAGGCCGACTCAATAGAATCAAAGTGGAATTTTAAAAAAGACTAATTGAACAAGAATTTTTCAGAAAAGGAGACAAAGAGGCTAATAAGTATATGAAGCTATAGCTTTGTCCCAGAGCCATGGGAAAGGGGATTCCTCTGACTGTCACCCTATCTACACTTTCCGTTTCACCATGGGAAGGAAAATTAAAAAAAAGATAAAAGCTATTTGAGAAAAGTACACTCATGAAGGCCAAAGATACAGGCCCACCAAAAAAAGGAGAGATTGGAGGATTACAAAATGCACCCTCTCCACACAGATCTCTTGTTGATTACAGAAGAAAGAAGAGGAAG